TTTTTTTCACATTCTATACCTCCTTTTTTATCTCTTACGCCCTTACATCAGTCTACACATCGTCAGTTAGGTTATGTTCTCAATTTTCAAACGTTATGACATCAGATTTCGCGGCCATTGGATGAACCAAATAATAATCCACTTGCCATGGATCTTCTTTGGGCCGATCCTATGCTGAATATTCAAGGGTATGACATTGAGTTCATCCAACAAGGTATTTCATCGAAATAATGTGCTTCAGTTATGCACCAAACACCGTTCGCGGTGTGGCAACGTTTTTTGGCGAAGATACTGTGATCCAGTGTTGCGAGAAGTTGAGAGTAGACCTTATAGTGCGCGCTCATCAGGTAAATGCAACAGGTTTGAGCGTGGGAAAAAATGCCCTGAATGTATTCAGATGATGATGTCTGGATATGGCTTCTTTTGTAACAGAAAATTGATCACTATTTTCACAGCTCCCCGATATCAACCAGAAGCGGTAACACCATATTGTTGCCCTGACATAGATCTAGCAAAGTGACGTTAAATTCCTTAGAACAACAAAGGTGCAGTTGTCTATGTCGACAAACAAGGTAAAATTGGATTTAAAGTGCTCTCACCTCTTGAACAAGCTCCGGATGCAGGACCACAAGGTATGAGCAACGCGCCTACTATGTAACACGATAACGGTTCTTTCTGCTCGAACAGCAATTAACGAACTCAAAATCTTCAAAACACATGACAACAATTTCCTGGAAAAAAAGTTTTGTAAACAATACCCTGGAAAGAGCCTTTGAGGCTCTCATTGAATGTACAACTCTTTTGAGTAATTGAGGCTAATAAAGTTAACACTTCGTACCTATGAGGCAATTGGTAATATGAAAGCGTTCATCGGAAACTAAGGCCCTTTCCTCCAGCATTGCCTTAGGGCAAAAAAGAAGCGTATTAGGATAGCGGAAATATTAGGTTGCCCCGAAAATTCTGCCAACTTTGTGTTCAAAACTTCATAATTCTGCTTTGTAAACATATAGTTAAACATTTGCTTTAAGTCCCTGAGAGCTACTTAGCTCAACAACGTGTAGGTATAGATCAAGCTCTACGACATCATAAAAAATTTTAGCGCTAAATTCTCTAGAACAGATTTGAGTAATTCTCTTCTATGAATTGCTACGAACGCTTAAAGCAAAGTCTAACATGTATCATCAACAATTTCCCTAAGGGCTTTTCTTACCCAATACACCGTTACTCGCCGGTACAACGATCTTTAGGATACGGGAGTTGAGCTTTATTGGCCACTAGAAAATTGTCCAGTTTAAAATGGATTTTGAGGCGCAACATTGATCTCTTTGAAACAGTTCAATCACCTCAAGTTGACTGAAGACGAACAGAAAAGAATTTGCATAAATTATTCATTGAATGTTTGCAACAGTTTCAAGCTATGACATATAAAAGCGAGGAAAGTTTGAAAGCCACATATAGAACGAAATAACAACCGTCAAAGACATTATCTTAAAGTTAGTGCGTACGAACAGGAACAGGATCGTATAGAAATATGAACTCATCAAACATTTGAGCTGGTGGTAAATCATTTTCAATCCATGCGTTCCACGCGCAATCTACAAACTGAAGAGTGCAGTTAAAATGGACAGTAAAAGAATAAATGTTACCGTTGGTTTCAAGAGCTTTCGAGTTTCTCATTTCTAAGAAAAAGTGCATATTCTTAAGCGAAGCTCATGATTTTGAGCATGAGTAAAGACCAAACTTTTTTTTCCTGTGAACACAACAAACAATACAAGCCAAAAATTTGCATAATTTCCTGAGAATGTTTATGCAAATTAGATGGCATTGGGGAGTGGCGAACAAACAATGAAAGCGTTGATGAGCATGCAAATATAGCTGCCAAATCACTACCTCTTTTAGATGATACCCCAACGAAAGTCGCAGGGCCTGATGACAAATCCTTCCGAATGTAGGTTTTTAATATTTGTATCTTCTAGATGTTGTTCCCTAATTTTGCCACTCTCCGTGATACATAGTATATATACCTGTTATACACACACAGCCACTAATATATGATGATTAAGTTTAAAATAGTTATCGGAAAGCTCGAATATCCAAATGCAATCATTTCAGAAGGAAAGGTCAAATGACTGGCGGAAGTAAAAGAATGGGAGTTGACTATAATCAGCCCAGATGAGTAAGTAGTGCAAAAATTGATTGAAAAGTGGATTCGTATGGTGCCATGAGTACCCAGCGTTCAAGTAACCTTTTTTCGGTGCCTTCTCTACTTTTGCGAAACACTGACTTTATGTTTTGAAAGTACGGGCTGTATTTTAGACGAACGACTACAAAATTGAGAGAATTTTGGATTCTAAGAATTCTCTTGAAATAGATTTAAACTCTAGGCACTAATTTAGTTTTTTGGATTATGATGCTTCCATTCTGGCAAACTTTTCCTGTTGGTGCAAGAAAGCCATAGAGAAATCAGGGCGATACTTTGACTCATTTGAAAAGCTTCATGCTCATGTTTCCCCTTGCGGTGACACTACATCGTCTGCAGCAAACATATTTATGACTAAATTCCCAAACTCCGTGAATAATTTTAGAGCATGACCTGGAAATGTCAAAACTATCTTTCTTGAATTTTTAATTAGATGACTGTAGTATATAATAATAGCGACGACTGGCGATATAAAAGACAATACCCTTATTACAATAAGGCGTTTAATATGTCTGTATGTGTGTGATTCTATCAGTTGTCACAAAATTAGCTTGCTCGTTGGGTCATCTGAAAATTTCTAGCAATTTGTTGTGAAAGCAATGACAAAGATTCGTTTGGGATCGCAATGGGTAGTTTCATCGGTTGACTTATAGGTTATTTATGTACTAATCTACTCCAACAACTACCGTGGAGTGAGATTGAAATTTCGGCGCAAATTGATTATATTTCCTGTATCCCATCTCCTATATGTATATATAAAGCAGAAAATGTATGTATGTATGTATGTATGTATGTATGTATGTATGTATGTATGTATGTATGTATGTATGTA